CTAATTCTGTGTTCCATGCTTGCCAATCGATCCATGATCGTGGTCAGCATATGCTGGGTGAGGTCCTTTGCCTTTCTTTCCTTCTCGTTGAGCGCCATTGTCCTCTTCTCCTCAGCGATCCGCTTCTCGCTAACGCTGATGATTTTCTCGAACTTGTCGATCCTCGACATCACTACGGCCAACGCCTCGTTGACACTAGTCACACTTTCGTTCACTTGAACTCTCTCCGTCTGTTGGTGGAATCCTTCCACTCGTCTTACGGACGATTCCGAAGCACTTTTCCTGGCTTCGCTCGTTTCCGTCACTAACACTTCCTCTAGCCCGGTCTGCCTCACCAGGTTAGGGTCCGATGCGACCTCTCGCACCTTACCGCTGCGCATCTCCCCTTTCCTTTTGTTGGGAGTACGCTGCATACTCGTCATGTCTGTCACTACTCTTCGCTATCACTTCGCGAAAGTTAACACAATTGACCTTAAAAGAGTTTATCCGCTTTTCGGCAATGGCTTGTTTACCACCGTTTATTAATCTTTCTTTACGCGCACTCGCGCTTCTATTATTTAACTCGGTCGTCCTTTTGACCTTGTTATTGTTTCGTGACCTTGCCTCGAGGTAAGGTATCGCGTTGTTTTTCGCGCACTCGTACGACATTTCGTTTGTTTTGCGCGCGCGCGATCCAAATTCCTCGGATTGCTGTGGCCTGTTTTTTCGCGCACTCGCGACCTTGTTATTCGGAATGTCTTTGTTTGTCTCGCGATTTTGTTTGCTCAAATTCCGAACTATTTATCTCGCTTATTCGCGACCTTATTTACCCGAATTCCGGATTGCTCGTCTCGCTTGCTCGCGACCTTGTTTACTCGAATTCCGGACTGTTCGGTTATCACTTATTGTTCACGTGATCGGTATTTCGCGCTTTATATGGCCGTTTCTCGGCACCGGTGACCTTTTCACCTTTACGCGCGTCTTTCCCCTATCACGTGATTTTCTCATGCGCTGTATTCGCTTTTTCGGCCCAAAATTATCTCTTCGAATATTCGTATGTTAGTTATCCTGATACCGCTTAAATATATTGTTAAAGTGAATAGGTGAATTTCTATCCTATCACTCACCGTTTTAATTATGTAGAATCGATATCTTATCGACCTTATCATGACTTTCGTTTTCTCTCACGCATCTAGCTTGCGCGTTCTTCTCCAGCTCGTCCGCTCCTGCTTCCGCCGCGTTGGTCGTCTGACCCACGACGCGTCGTACTCCTGGAACGTAGTCCGATTGCACTTACTTCCGCCGTTGTTTCAGCGTCGCGGTCCTGTCACGGTCGCCATTGTTCGCGATATTATCCTACTTCCTCGGGTATTCTATGATGCCGCCTCCTACTGCCGGTTGCTCTGGATTTCTCGATCCACACACCCTTTTACTCGAGTGATTGCAAATCGCAACGCTCGACGATGCAATCTGACCTTAAACGAGCTGCTCCCATCTGTAGCCGGACTCGAAGCTGTTTGGCGCTATTCGGTCCCGCTTGCTTAGATATGTCCCGGTC